CCTACAATTCTTTTGTTATTTTTAAAGGCCTGTAAACATTATAAAGCATATTGTCTAGGCTATTGAGGATGTAGTTTTTGCACAGAAAATCAGAATGTTTCTAGGCGTCTATAGCGGCAACAACTTGCCGATCACTTTCATCCTTTTTAAGCACTAGAGCTTCTTCACAGAGAAACCGGGAAAGATTAAGAGTTGTAAGATAGAACAATATTTTCTGTTGCCATCTCTTAAACTCAGTGCCATTGAATTTTTCCGATTCTTTCTCCATGATTTATTGGAACTTGAACATGGTTCTGGATAAGAACCGGAGTCGTTATAACAATCGGATTTGGAGTACTACTTGCAGAAGCCATAATAACTTATTACAAACATCAAAACCAAAATACAAATTAATTTTCTAGTTACTATAACCAAAAAATAAGTTATAACACAAAATAATTTTATTTTTCTAGTTACTAAAACCAGAAAAATAAAACACAATAATTTTCTTGTTATACAAACAAAAAAAATATTTTCTTAATAAACTGAAGACTTATCAAAAAATAAAAGTCTGTCTTAAGATTGTTGGACAATTTTCAATGTATTCAAAGAAAAATTAAAGAAATGAGCGAGACTATTTAATTACAAAAATCAAAATAGTATATAAAGAATAAAATAAAACAATAGATTCTTATTTTGTTACAAAAACAAAATTTGAATCTGAAAAAGGAAAAATTAATAAAGCAAAAAAGTAAACTAATTACTTACCTTATTATTTTCTTGAACAAAATTTTAATCAAGGCTAGTGTTTAACACTATCCTTAAGAAAGATTCGTCTTCTCCACGGTGTTTTTAGATTGCAAATGTCTATCTCCCAAGATAAAATGATCAGTAACGAACAGTAGCAGCATTACTGATTAAGGCTGAATTGTACAACATTGAGTCCGTTAATTAGGATCTCTTAACTTTACTTTCTTGTCAAACTGTATACTTTATGTGTGTTTAATGTCAATCAGGTTGTACATAGTCGGAGCATAAAAATGGACAAAAAGAAAGAATTTGGAGGAAAAATTGACTTTGTTCGCACGTGCGTTGACTTTTTTTGGGAAAACATGCCCGATATTTTCAACCTGTTTGAAAGACAGCAGAAGTATAAATAGGAAAGAAAGAGGCTGGATTAGGATTCGGAAATTGTTTTTAGCAAGGAAAGAGAGGCTAGGGTTTCAAGAGGTGATTTTCTCCCAAAAGCTTGAAGGACACTTCCATGGGGTCTTTTTCCTCATCTTCTTCCTCTTCCCACTCTTACATGAGTGGCTAGTCATCTTTTCTAGGGTTTTGATGAAACCCTAGCCATGTAATTAGGTTTTTCTTTTTGATTTTTAATTATGTAAAGGTTTGAACAATTGTATGGTGTTTTAGAAGTTTTATAGATTTATTTTTCATTATTTCTTCAAATATTCGGCTTTCTGTGATTGTTGAATGTTTTCTATACAAGAGTTTGCGCATAACGAACACACTTTGTGTTTACACTATTTTCCATAGGAAAAATAATACAACAAAATGCAGAGATTGAAAGCAGCAGGTAGAGATTGAGTGCAAAATTCAAATAAAGGGCTGCCTATTTATAAATGAAATAGTGGCTTTTCAAAACAGGTAGAAAACCTGTTCGGACATGATTGCGCATGTACAAGACTTGTTTTGAATTAAACAAATACAAACCTGTATGGTTTGAATTGAACATATATGGGTTTGAACTAAACAGATATGAACATGTTCGGAACATGTATGGAATCTGTACAAAAAGATTTGAAGAGGTGCAAGTCAAAATTTAATTTTTTCCAACAGAAATTTGAATTCAAATGGTCAGAATTTATTTTCCAAATATTAAAAAAAAATCCAAATGTTTTTGGCCAAAAAAGAATTAGTATTGGGTTAGACAAGCCCAACCCAACCTCACACTACGCACCAGCGCCAAAGCCTAACCCGCTCGGACGGCGGCGCGCTTGTTTGTTTTGGGCTCAATGGGTCTAGCCCACTTTACCTATAATCTCACCCTTCCACAAAACTTGGGTAGTCCTTATAAACCCATACAAAGTTTGCCCATCAAAGCAATATGGGACAAACCTTAACTTCAACCTTCATAGAAATTTCACCAAACACACAATTTTCATAGAGCTCACTTTGATATTAATTTTCTATTTACCCGATAATAATTTTGAGTAACCAAATATACGACGTGAATCATTACACAGCAAAGAACGCGTTGCTACATGGATCCGCCAACTTTGACGCATGGGTCTCACCTAAAAATTAGACTAAAATTTGAAAAAAAATTATTTTTTCCCAAACCATTTCTTACATGCATATTAGTGGAAAAATTTACAACATTAAAAGATAAATTCATAAACTTTTCTATCAATTTGAAATTATTTTATGAAATTTCCAGTGAAATGATAATTCCCCTAAAAAATTCAAGGTAAAATTAAGGGGGAATTACAAGTCAATAAAACAAGTAAAAAAAATTACATAGACATGGGGGTGCACTTTAGACTTGCACCTCCACAATTTTTGAGTTACACCCCACCACGCAAAGAGTTGCACAGCCCATATTTTACAATTTTTTTTTTTTTTTTAAAGTTTTTTACTCGGCATTGTTATTTTCCCTAACTTAACTCACATCCTTTGAGATTTGAGAAGGGTCTTCACTAGTTCCGCTAGTTTGATAAAATTAAGGGGGAATTACATGTCAATAAAACAAGTAAAAAAAATTACATAGACATGGGGGTTTAGACTTGCACCTCCACAATTTTTGAGTTACACCCCACCACGCAAAGAGTTGCACATCCCATATTTTACAATTTTTTTTTTTTTTAAAAGTTTTTTACTCGGCATTGTTATTTTCCCTAACTTAACTCACATCCTTTGAGATTTGAGAAGGGTCTTCACTAGTTCCGCTAGTTTGAATGAAATTTTTTTTAGTTGTAATTGATGGAATGGAAGGATCACATTATGGGGGTGTTTGGCAAGTTGGATTTTAATATTTTTTTGGTTAAAATCTATAAAAAAATAAAATAGACTAAAATAGTTAATAAAACAAAATATCACCTTAAATCTATAATCATTTTACATTTTCTCTCATAAACATCATATCCAATCGCAAAAAAAAATCTAACTATCTTTCTAATGATAAAAATTTTAACCTACTAAAATAGCAAAAAACTAAAATAATCTATTAAAATAGCAACTTTTCAAACACGTACCATAATAAAATTGAAAGTGTAGAGAGACCAAATTATTTACATAAAAATTATGGAAATTAAAATGACACTTCACCTAAATTACAAAGACTAATTTACCCAATTTGAGAAAAATATAATTAATTTCATAAATTTGGTATAATTACACTGACTTCTTCTATTAAAATGAACAAAACTAATGTAAAAGACAAGTAAATAATAAAATAAATAAAGACAAATACATATCTTAGTATAAAAAAATATGACAACTTTTTACTTGTACTGCTAATAAATTATTAATACAAAACAAAAGTGATATGTAAATTAAAATTATAAAAGTTATTAACATAATTATATCAAAAATATAAAATCGGCCAATGTAATTTAAAATTTAAAAGTATGTATGGCAATAAAAGTGTGATCATGTATTCAATTTCTTTCTATTCCCCTTCCTCTCTTAAAAGTCTATAGTCATATATTTTAGTAACACACAAGAAATCAAACACGGGATTTATGTGAAATAAAAAATATTCACATCTAAAATTGTAAACATGTTTTACTGTTTAGAGTTATAAACGAATCAAGCTGAGTCAAATTTTAGTATATTTGAGCTTATTTATTACGATGTTAACGAGTTCGAATTCAAACTCGTGCATTATAAAAATTTAATAAATTGAGTTAGAGTCAGGTTGGCTTAGGCTTGATTTGAATTAGAATCTGTTCACGAGCCTTAATAAGCCAAAAAATTATAAATTCATATTTACATATGGAACTAAAGTTACAATTAAAATTTTGATTATATAATTATATAAAAAATATATAAACATATTAGGAAAAAGTCAATATTTTACCAAAATAATAATATCTACTACCATTATTATATAAATGTATTATCTATAGTTAACTATTATTTACATTTATATTTTTTAAATATATAAATAACATATTTATCTTATTTTTTATACATATTTTTACATTATTTTATAAATAATAAATGTTAAACGAGTCAGTTAACAATCATAATTTTAGTATGTTTGTATTTATTTATTAACATTTTAACGAGTATGAGTTTGAGCTCAAACTCAAACGCAAACGCAAAAAAAAATAAAAAAAAATAAAATAATTAATGAATTGAGTTCGAACGAGTTCTTACCGAGCCGAACTTGAACCTGTTCACGAATGACTTTGTTCAGGTGAAACAAAAAAATATTCACATTTGCAATTGTGAGCATGTCTCACATCTATACATCAGGATTTGTTTGTGATGAACCTTTTTAGTCTGATTTTTTTGGTTAATTTAACCTAGTTAAATTAGCTCTATTTGGAAAGAATTTTTTTAATTTTTTTGTAAGAAAAAAGTGAAATGATTATGATTTAGATGTGACATTTTATATTATTAACTTATTTAACCTATTTTGTGTTTTTTGTAGTTCTAACCTAAACCCAATTTACTCGCCAAATGGATACTATATATTCAATTCTTTCTGTGCAACTAATTTTTTTTTTAATATTTGTTTTTGAGTTTTTAAAAATAAAATATTAATTTATATTTTTACTTTTATTGAAATTTCAATGTTTTAGTAATTTTTTTTAGATATACCTATTATAGACGTAATTAAAAATAAAATATTTACGAATAAAAATACAAATATATATATTTTGTATTTAATAAATTTTTTAATAGATCTAAAACGAAATACTATTAAACACATAAAAAATTCAAAAGTACTGTGATCAACAATCACATGGGTATCTGGTACACCCCGGAACACCAGATAACTTGATAACATCTCTCCTCTCCGACGCTTTCTTCTAAATTTGGTACTCCTCCTTTTTCTCTCCTCTTTTTCTGCTCCTCTCGCCATTTCTCTCTCTCTACTCTCTCTCTCTCTCTCTCTCTCTGCACCCTTTGATCGATTCCCAATTCTTTCTTTCAAACCCATTTCGCTCTCCTCCCCCCTTTTTTTTCTTTTGGGTTTTCTTCTCTGATTTTTCATGGTTTTAGGAACTTGTCAATTCACCTAATCTCTATCTCTCTCTGTTGGTTATGATTGTTTCTTGTATTCAATTGAATTCGTCTGTGGATTGATCATGGGAAGTCTTCTTCTGATTTTGCAAAATTAGGGTTACTATGGCGTAATTTCAGAGTATCTCCTTATACCCTCTTCTTTATTTTTTCTTTTTTCTTTTAATTTTGTTTTCAAAGTTTCAATTTATTCCTCAGATTGCGTTTTTCTTATTAGGGTTCCAAATTTTCTCTTATTCAGGTTGGAAATTTACAATTTATTTTGCAAATTTTCAGGTTTTAATTTGTGACCCATCAATCTTATCCTGTTTTTGAGCTTCTTTGATTCCAAAATTTCCATTCCTGAGAGTGCCTCGCCACCATTGGTTTGTTATTATCAGCAGTGCCTTTTCTCTCTCTAGAATTTGTTTCCTGGTTTTTTGTTCAGGTAATTTCATTTCCTTTTTGGTTGAAATTAGATCTATTTAGAATTACCTTATTTGAAATGTTTGTACTTTTTGTGATTTGTGTGTAATATTCATCATATTGTTGTTTTTTCATGTCTACTTTTAGGTAAAAGGCATACTGTATGTAATGTAGTTATTATTAATTGCCAATTTTGTACACCCTTTTTTGTGCTCTGTTCAAACCCTTTTTCTATATGGCTAGAAAAATGATGCGCTGCTTCATTTCTGGGGCATTTATGCTTCTCTTATTGTGTGTAGGAAGCTAATAATCGTGCCGGATTTAAGTGTTAGTTACTTATTGAATGCTTCATTGAATTAATTATATTTCAATTTATCATTAAGTAGTTTATTTCAACTCATCATTAATATGAATCTTTTGAGTTTATGGGTTTGATTTCAAGATTCCTTTAATTATTACTTTTTGACGTTTATAGCATTAATTTATGACTTCCACCTGTTTGGGGGTATTTTGAATGTATATTTTACTAAATCCATAACTATTAATTTAAAGTTTTATGGACAGCCCTCCATATCACATTTTTGTGGTACCCACACATATGAATAGGAGTAGGAGACTGTGGATCTAGCATTTCCCTTTTAAGAAGTTGGGCTTTTTGTTTTTGACTTAAATGTGTTTTAAGTTTTTTTCGTTTATACCTTTATCTATATGCTGATCTATAGCTGCATTAACTGATTAATTCAAGTGGTTAAAGTAATTTTGTTTGCAGCCTTTTTGGTTATTTATTAAAGGCTGTTATTTATGATATGCTTTATTACCTTCCTGGTGGTGGCTTGATTCAATTTCTGGTTGTTATGTGCCATTTGGTAATGTTTTCCAGTCTACTATTTTTTGTTTGCAAAAGTATATTTATATTTATTTTTGGTAAAACAAAATAAATAAATAAATAAATATTTGTTAAACTCATGTTTTCAAAAACTGGCTGGCTGTAAGTGGTTTCTGGTGGCTAGAGATGGGGGATGCGCCAGTGGTGGTTGGCAGCAGCTGGTGGCTGGAGATGATTGCCAAAGGTGATGGTTGGAGGGGGTCGTCAGCAATGGTGGCTGGTGGTGTGATGGGATGCTTGTGGTTGTCGGAGGGGGTTGGGAGGGAATTAAGACTTATTTTTCAAATAAGTAAATACACTTTTTTTTCTTTGAATTTAGTAAATTTTGTAAACGGTTTACATTTGAAAGTGAAAATAAACATCAAAAAAGTTTTTTTGTTTTTAGATTTCATTTTTTTGCCTTGTTTGATAACAATTTCTTTTCTTTTCATTTTCAAAAATCTTGAAAATTGAAAACAGAAACACCTTTGGTTTTATTGTTTTTGTTTTAAAAAAGTGAACAATTTCCAAAATTTTCAAAACTTTTTTTCTTCTTCTTCTTTTTTTTTTTTTTTTCCAAAACAAGTTTTCACTCTCTCCTCCCTCTCCCATCACTTTCTTCCACTGCTGGCAACCATCGCCATTGACCGGTCGACCACAGTGTGGCAACTGATACTCAGCCACCATCCCATGATCACCAGCGACATTTCGGGCAAGACCTTCGGCTTTCCCCACTGCTAGCCATCACATTTGGCCACCCTCCACTGCCGGCCACGACCTCTGGCAACTCACCTAGCATGTTTTCTCATTTTTATTTTTAAAAAAAATTGTGCTCCAAATTTGCTGGTTTTTTGGCAAAAAAATAGAAACTTGTTTCCTGTACCAGACTCTAGATAGACAAAATTGTAAACCTTATTAAATAGGTCCTTGCCTGTCTCTCGGAATATTACCACTGGTCCTGTAGGCTAAGTGCTATCCAGTAGGTCACTCAAATGTCAATGTCAGGGGCTTAAGTAGGCACGTCTTGTATCTTGGATATAAGACATCTGCATTCAATATTTATTTCTTCTCCATCTTTGTTCAGGGTATTATCCTTTCACTTGAATGTTTTTTGGACTGTTCGGTGCAAAATTGTTGTCAGGTCAGAGTAATAGAGATGAGTCACATGACAAATGAGAGTGATGATGAGATGCTCTCCCAGGATCATACTGGTTCACCTTTGATTGATGAAGGTAACTGTGGCGGAAGCATGAATGGAGGAGTTGTTTTGAAGAAAGGGCCATGGACTTCTGCAGAAGATGCCATTTTGGTGGATTATGTCAGGAAACATGGAGAGGGGAATTGGAATGCTGTTCAGAAGCACTCAGGGTTGTTCCGTTGTGGGAAAAGTTGCCGTCTTCGATGGGCAAACCACCTAAGGCCGAACTTAAAGAAAGGAGCATTCACCCCAGATGAAGAAAAGACAATCATTGAACTCCATGCCAAGATGGGAAACAAATGGGCACGGATGGCTGCACATGTAAGTATATAGTTCATTTCCGTATGTTGTTTATAATGCTCTTGTTTTATCATTATCTTTTTATTTTATTTTTAGGGTCTGTTTGTAAATATTAGTTTCTTGGGGGAGATGAGATCTGAGTATCTATATAAAAGATCATAAGTACGACTAAAAGATATTATGTATATAATTGTACTCCCTAATGTACAAAAAATTTAAACCATTCATTGGAGTTCTTTTCAAGGCTTTGTAACTAGTAAGGGTTGTGTCATTGTGTGCTTTTTTGTTTGTAATAAAACTAATCTGATCGCCTCTTGCAGAAACATTTCTGACTGGAATATTAATGTGGTGCTCTACTGCAAGTTTATTGATCTTTTAATGTTCAGGAAAACTTTAAAGAAACTATGGGTTATGCACAACAGTGATGAATAATGAACCTTGGTCTGACTTTGTATATACTATTTAAGCAAAAAGATATTTTGAAATCTTCATAGGAGCTGAAAGTTTTTAATAGTTCTGTAGACTCTTAAGTCAAATTATGTAATGGGCATTGATGCAGTATTTTGTTTACATTAAATGTTTATAAAGTTGGAGGTGTTTAACCCTTGATGTTATGCTGTGACTGATGCACAGAAGTGATAAATCATGTTATTTTTCTAAACTAAATGCTACCTGTTTTAAACTAGTATGCTATCCATAAAAATATATATATATATATATATATTGGGTGGAATAATCTTTAATTATGTTCCAAATTTGTGACTGATTTTGTCCATCTTATATAGAGCAATTCTTTTGCACTTACTGGATTTTTGGAACTGTTTCTGTTTGAGTTGGATAGATATATGTTTCAGAAGTTCAAAGAAAACTATAGATATTGCATAATTTGCATTTTCCATGTTTTGCATGCATGGATATGTTTATGTTTAGATTATTACAAAGTTGTAAGTATTAATTATCTTATAAAAAATTAATTTCCTTGCCACTTTCAGCTGCCTGGTCGCACAGATAATGAGATAAAGAACTATTGGAATACTCGAATCAAGAGGCGCCAGCGTGCTGGATTACCTCTTTATCCTCCCGAAGTGTGTTTGCAAGCGTTTCAAGAGAATCAACAAAACCAAAATGCTAGTGGGGATAAAGGGCAGCATGATCTCATGCAAACTGACATTTGTGAAATACCTGATGTCATATTCGACAGTTTGAAGGCAAACCACGGAGTTTTGCCTTATGTTCCTGAACTTCCCGATATTTCTACGAGCAGCATGCTAATGAAAGGTCTTGGTTCTTCTCAGTGTTATGGTTCCGTGCCCCCCATGGTTCATCGTCAGAAGCGTCTTCGAGAATCACCAACCTCATTCTCTGGGCATGATGGTATTGTCAGAAACGAGCCCTCGCCATTTGACCAGACACCAGATGATAATTGTGATAATATGACATCTCAATTTTTTGGTTTGTCTTTTCCCTATGATCCCGATCCTATCACAAAGAATCTGCTGTCTTTCAGCGGAAACCAGAGTAGCCATTTCCTTATAAATGGTAATTTCTCCGCTTCTAAGCCCACCAATGGGGCTGTGAAGCTGGAGCTCCCTTCACTCCAATATCCAGAAACTGATTTCAGTAGCTGGGGTTCATCTTCTCCTCCAGCTTTGCTTGAGTCAGTGGATGCTTTTATTCAGTCTCCACCATCTGGGACCCTCCAGTCAGATTGTCTTTCACCTCGGAACAGTGGGCTATTAGATGCTTTGCTTTACGAGGCGAAGACTCTAAGTACAAAGAATCAATTGTCTGACAAAAGTTCAAATTCTTCTACCATCACTCCTGGTGATAAAGCAAACAGTTCTGCCTTGGATATATGTGAGACAAAATGGGAAGAATACGGTGACTCCATATCACCCTTGGGTAACTCTGCAGCTTCTATTTTCAACGAATGCACTCCTGTAAGTGTCAGTGGAAGTTCATTGGATGAAATAACTCCTGAAAACTTTCCTGGTAAGCATATTTGTCTCATGTTTTTATGCAAAATATTTATTACTGGAGCATTGACAAAAATGTTAGTGTCTGTTTGGATGGATTAAAGTGGGTTTGAAATTAATCATTGGTAGTTGACCTGTGGGTTTCTAGATCGAATTAAATAGCTTTATTAGAATGAATTTAAAATAACTATATAAAAATAGTTATTTGAAACTATGCTAATGATTCTCTTGTAGCTACAAAGATCCTGCCAACTTATCTTATAATTTTCTATCCACATATTATAGCTAACTCTCCAATGTTTTAATCTCAAGTCGCTTGATTTGAAATCCATGTCCATCCAAAAGGACCCTTACCATTTCAAGTACGTTAAAGTTACCATAACTGTGTATGAACTGACTGAGAATTATTTATGATAATATCTCTTTATTTGTAGAACAGCTAAAGGAGCCTGCAAAGTTCTAGTATAATAAGGGCATCCCTTGTTTGTTACCATGCCCTTTTTTTTACCCATTAAAATTTTCAAATTTTCGGAATACACTCTATTCTAATTTCTGCAGTTTGAATTATTCACAATGCCGAATTAATTGTTTCACCCAAAAATTTCACTGTGTCATGACGTTCAAAAGTCTTCTTTATATTTTATCGTATTGTAGGAAGCAACGTGAAGTCAGAAGCCGATGATCAGACTTGGACTATGGATGGAGAAACAAAAGAAACCGCGACCCAATTGGATTTTTCCAGGCCTGATGCTTTACTTGGGTCATGTTGGCTCGGGCAGAGCGTTGCGTGTGCTAAGGACCAAGGCATAGGTACTGATGCTAGAGCAGTGGCTCTAGGTGACGATTTGGGTAACGACTACAAACATATGGCTGCTGGGACTGCATTGAGTCCAGGATGGGGGTTTGTTTCGTGTTCTTGGAATAACATGCCTGCAGTCTGCCAGATGTCTGAACTTCCTTGAAACTCGCTCTTTGTTGAATCTATGAAAATTCTTTAAACATATAGTCTGTTTTTTCTTTGTTGGAAGATTTGTTTAATATGCACAATTTGTGGTGAGAGTTACCGCCTGATGTTTGCGAGCTGTAGTATTTGTTAGGGCTTTTATTGTCTTGCTTTTGAAAACAGTTCATTGCATGTATGCCACTATGGAACTTCATGGGGTATAGAGATGCATTCAGACTTCCATTATAATTGTAGAATAAGTATGCACTTTCAATTAGGGACATGTGATTTCAGAGTTTTTTTGGTTAACAGAAGAAATTTTGTTTTGCCAAAATGGGGTTTTCTTTATAGCAATTAGTTGATGCATGCTTGATATTGGGAGGTAAGCCAAAATTTGGGATCAAGATTCTCTGCAATGATCTGCATGTGGCAAACTATCCATTTTTGTTTAACGTTAAAATTATACAGCTTTAGGGTTGTATGGTGTGTGGTTTTAATGTCTTTTATTTTAGTTTTAACTTGAGTTTTTTGTTTTTTTTTTTAGAACATGAGAAACATTATATTAATAAACAATAACATTGCATACGCAAGATTTTAAAGGGCCATTTCAACTAATAGCAAAACAAAAGACAAACAACAAAAAACAAAAATAATTTTGTCAAAAAAATAGTTACGAGTTAGGAAAAATTATCGATTTTCAAAGATGTGGTTTGCAAAGTAAGATCTGCTTGAAAGTTGCGGTCCCCATCGACGTCGTCCTCGTTGTTGCTATCTAACTCTATCACCGCTGTCGGTGCTGGATATCAAACTCCGCCAGAAACTAAAGTTGAGAAGGAATGATACCCACAATGGTATGTGAGAAGGTTTGAGAAAGGAGGGAACCATTGTGGGTGTCGAAAATTTAAAAAACTATATTGAAATCGGAGGAGAAAATTTTCAAAATTCTTATTTCGGACATAAAAAGTACAGATCTATACTCGAAAATTGTAGATCTACACTCCTAGAGTATATATCTATACTTTTGAAGTGTAAAAAAAGTCATCGGAATATTGTCGGAAATCACAGAGAGAGACTCTTGGTGGACTCTTATAACTTAAATTGTTGGATTATGTACTTTTGTTGATGCGTCTTGGTGCGATAAAAACACCAGAAGGTTATTGCAAGAAAACCATGACAGAAATAATTCATCTTCTTCTCCTTCCTATGGATGTGATCTATTGTTGTGTTTTTGGATGTTATTGATAGACTAGGTTTCAAGAGGAATTTTATTACAGATAGATTTGTGGAATATTTATATTCAACTCAAAGTAACGTTTGATTCACCGAATTGAATGTCAAAATGAAAATTATTTCATTAAATTATTCTTTCTCATTTTTGATTTGCTCAATGAAAGAAATGTTACATTTAAATGAAATCATCATTTACAAATGAGTTTGATTTGAAATGTAGAAGTTGAACACCAAATTTGTTTAAGGTGTAAGGTGCAAATCTTGTGCCTTGCTACTTTTTTTTGCACTTTGATCCCTCAAAGTAATTTATTTTCAATTTAGTACTTGAATTTTAAACTTTTGTCAGTTCAATCAAGTGATAACTGTCATTATGATCATGGAACAGTTGAGGCATTTTGAGAAGTTTGTTTCCTACTTTGCCCCTTCAAAATTTAAACCATAACCACCTTAGTCCTTGGAGCAAGGATCCTCTCATTGCCTTCTCCACTTGGCCCCCTCCTTACGACGGTTAAGATTTATCCCAAGAGAATTCAATGACTCAGGTCACTTTATTAATTTTTTTTAAAAAAATTATTATTATTATTTAATAAAGTGATCTGAGCCATTAGATTGAATCTTAACCGTTACAAGAAGGGAGACTAGTAGAGACGCCTGGTCGTTGAGCTATCTACATTACAAAGTGAAGGGAAAACTTCCTGCCAAATTAGGTCATAGTACTTCCATAAGAACATCTTGGTAAAGTAAAATACATGGAAGAAGGGAAAACACGAAGAACAAAGAAAAACCAAAAATGGAAAGGAGAGAGAGGAGAAATGATGTACTCTATATCTATTATCATTTAATAGTTAGATCAATTTAATTGATACTAGTGCAAAAAAATTTACCTTAAATCACAACAGCAACAAAAAAAATAAAAATAAATAAATAAATAAATAAATAAAAGTGAAGAGTTTTACTTTTGTAACAAAATAAATCTTAAAATTTAATTTTATCAATTTAGATCATAATTTTTTAATCTATTGTCACTCTAAACCATCAATCAATTCTGTTAAATAAAATCAACTCAATATAGATGTATCTAAAATAATTAAAATATTATTTTTCGTTGAGTTTAATTATTAAAATATCTTTTTTTTTCCGTCGATTTTATTTAACAAAAAAATACAAATAGTTTATATTGAAAAAAAAAATCAAAAAACTAGTATTTAAATTGACAAATTTGTTACAGAGGTAACATTTTTTTTTTCCTTCTAATTTTTAACATAGAAACAGAGTGGACCCTTTTATTTACAGCCCTAAGAAACTGTGAGGTAGGTAATTAACTGCCATTTCCAAATACAGAGCACAGAACAGAGCAGAGACTCTGGAAACTTGAGAAATTCATCAATTAAGCATCTCCTCGTAAAGCAATTCGCTATTGTTCATTCCCATTCCCTTTCTTCTCTCTCTTTCCTTTCCACCAAGGTGATTGGATTGTTCAGAACTCGTTGACGACGACACTCTCGATTTTCTTGCAGATATGGTGTCTCTGAGTGTGGATACTCGTGTATTACTAGGGCTTTCCTCAGAATTGTTTTGCGATCCAGGGGAGTCCATTATGGTACTTATCGAATCTGATTCTGGAGGTGAGAAGTCTCTTATACATGTTGTGTTTCCAAAGCTTATGTACTCCAAAGCATCAACCACCTGCGTAGATATCAACCAACCCAGAAATGAAGTTTACATGTTTGACAAAATGTTTCTGAGAAATGGAGCTTTGCAGTATGTTTTTCAATCGACGTAGTGTGCTTTTAAGATATATGCATTTATGTGTTCTGATTCATTTTGATGATAAAACATTGGTATATGTTGGGTATTGAAGGGGGCCATATGTGACTCTGGACCAGGCAAGGCTAGAGTAGCAAAGAACAACCTCCAAAGCCCAAACGTGATGCTTGGGCCTAGCAAAATAGGAAGACCAAAACACCAAACCCAAGCGCCAGCTTGGGCTGAGCAAGTGCTCGTCGGTCAAAACCACACAACCCAAGTGTACGCTTGAACTAGGGGTGCAACTCGGGCAGGTTCGGTCGGGTTGGGAGGTTGTCCAAGCCCAACCCAAGTTATGCTGAGACTTGCCCAAGCCCCCCCAAGCCCGAATTGTAACCCGAGGTTGTCTGCCCAATCCCGACCCGAGCTAAACCCGAATTACCCGAGTTGCCCGAATTGTAAATTAATTTCAATTTTATTTATTTATTTATTTTTATTATAGAAAATCATTAATACCATCAAAACAAATAATTTACATAATGTAAGAGAGATGCCACTATAATAGTCCTTACAATTTATGAGTGAAAATAAAAAGAAAAAAAGTAAGATTTTATGTTATTTGTATATATAATATATATTCAATATGATTTAATAATATAAATTACTTTAATATCATGTAATGACTAATAATTTATATTTATATTAATATTTTTATATATCTATATATGTATAATTCGGGCTTCGGGTTGCTCGGGTTGTTTGACATCTTTGCCCAAGCCCGCCCAAATTTAATTCGGGCTTCTGAATTTTTGCCCAAGCCCATACCGAATTTGAAAATATTTTGTCTAAGTCCTAAAAAAATTTGGGCTGGGCTCGGGTTGCTCGGGTTGAACCCGCCCAAGTTGCACCCCTAGCTTGAACCAAAATACTTAGAGAAGCGTAAGCATGAGTTTGAGCCCAATGAACCAAGTGGTCTGTACCACACAGCCCAATTGTAAACTTGGGCTGAGCACATTAGTTGGTCCGAACTACATAGCCCAAGTACGAACTTGGGTCGAGCACAGCAAAGTTGGACTGACCAACCGAAACCATTGGGCTGGTTTGTCCATAAGCATTTGGTATGATCCAAGCTGATCCATAGCAACCCGACTGCAGAATTGAACTCATGTCTCACACATGGAGAAGCACATGCAAAGACTTGCCATGACGAACCTCAAGGCTTAACAGAAAGCAATTAGAGGAGAGGTGACGTCACAATGACGCAAGGAAAAACCCCTTAACATGCGTGCCTAAACCGCTCAGCGGCTGGCACATGCAAGCACAAAGCTGAAGGAAGGAAGTGCACGTGCTCGACCACGCGCCCTTGGAGAGCAAGGCAACCCCCCCTATATAAGGTGCACTCTTTCTCTTAAGAAAGGATCTGATTTCACATACTCTTCACTTATAATCTCTCTCTCTACATTTCTTCTCTTTTCCTTCCTAAAGTCCTAACTAAAGCATCGGAGGGTTTCTGACCGAACCCCGGTCGGGCTTCCTTGTAGTTTGTTTTTTGTGCAAACCTTCACTTCCTAGAGGAGAGCAGTTCGGCCACAACATACATTCATTATCTCTGTTGTAGAATTGCCCCCGCACAGGTATAGTGGACCTGATAAGTACCGGTCACTGGGTCCTCGATCCAATGAGAGTTTGGGTGTCAAAATTTTTTGGGTACTTTGGTAATTTGTGTTGCCCTAATTTTTATGCTTATATAGATGAGATATATGGGTGTCTCTATTTACATACCATATTTCATCTTAAGACACATCATTAATTAGTTTATTTTTTGTCACAATATTAACCTAATATAAAATGACCACAAAGGATAAAGGGCTATCATACACACCTTACGTAATACACACCGATTACTCATTGCACACTACACCCAATTTTGATTTTTTATTTTTCACTCAATACACACTATCAATTTTTAAATATTCCCAAAATATCCTCATCTTCTCTAACCATAACGATAACTCTAACCCTAACCCTAACTCTATCCCGCAGCCGCCGCCGCCATCAGTCATTGCTGTCAGCCATCCTATCTCTTTCTGCTGCCGTTACCCTCCGACCGACCCCATCCCCTTTTTGTTTCCATCCCCAGTCCATTTGCGTTCTTGCCATGGCAGCAACTCGCGTTGCCCTTTCCGTCACTGTTGACATTGCAACTCGTAATAAAATTTGTGTTGTGTGGATTAAGAAATTTGTATGAAGGTTAAAAATGTAATTGACTAGAAGGATAAAGATGTAATAAATTTTTTTAAGGAAATGGAAGATTGAAGATTGTGGGTGTGGTGTGTGAATGAGAAAGGGTAAAGATGTAAGATTGTGGGTGGAGTATGTGAGTAAGAGTAAAGATGGAAAATTGTGGTGTGTATTGAGCAAAATTTCTTATATATCAAATTATTAAAGGTGTGCCTTAAGTAGTGGTGTGCCTTGAGATGAAATTTGGTGTGTGAATAGAGGCACCCTGAGATATTTACACGAGGGGTGCCTCTATTGCGTAAGAGGGTTGTAATTGTTTTCATATGACCTAGCCCTATTGTGAGGTGAATCACGTAAATATGTTCTTGTGTGTGTGTGCACGCGTGTGTGATTGATTTGATTCATATTATTTTTTTTTGTCTCACCGATCCTGATTAGGGATTGTCGAATTCCTAATAGTATATAAAATAGATCAAACTTTGATTTACAACTATAGTGATATGGAAAGATTGGGCTAATGAAAAACTTACATTTTTCGTAGTCCATCTCTTCTTAGGATCCTTGCTGAGACATTTCTTTGCTACTCTAACCAAGCCCTATTTTGAAGTGAACTACGTAAATGTGTTCTTGTGTGTGTGTGTAATTGATTCGATCCATATTATCTTTCTCATTTGTTATTTTGTGTCTCACTAATCCTAATTAGGGATTGTCAAATTCCTAACAGTATATAATATAGATCGACTTTGATTTACAACTATAGTGATATGGAAAGATTGTGCTAATGAAAACCTTACATTTTTCATATTCCATCTCTTCTTAGGATCCTTGCTGAGACATTTTTCTGTTACTATAACCATCCAAAACAGTTGGTGCATGTCATGGGAGTCCACAATCCTTTCATCAATCAAATCTGGGTAGTTCTTGTCTTTCAAAAGTGGTCGTGCCTATAATAAAAAAGTATAAAAGGAAGTTGTAAAAATTGAGGATGATCTTCTAAAGTGCTCGTGCAAAGAAGTTTCCATCTAACAATTAAAAAAACAAATTTAATGCATATGTGTGCAATTTTTCTTCTTTATGTGCATGTGCATAGTATAAGTACTTCTTTTTTTAATACACGAAGAGTTACTTATTTTTTTCCAAAAGAGGAAAGAAAGAAACAAAGAAAAGAAGACAAATGAGAAGTTTAATGCACACTGAACAAGCCTTCACTGACATATCTTTATGACCAAGATCCCTCTTCTCAGGAGCTTCTACATGTAATATGGGGGGAGTGTAACTTCTTCAAGAAACTTCCGTAAGCCTATTTTGAATCTTGGACTTGCCAAAAGAAAGGAAAATAAAGAAATTAAAATTATTTATACATTTATTTTTCAATTACTCATAAAAATAAAATTTTATAAATAATGCAACACGACACGGACATGAGACACGTGCAAAATAAACAGTTTTATATATTTATTATAATTTTATGTCATATATTTGAATATTTCATTCAATGATTAAAAAAAAACAATGTAGCACTACTTTTTAAAGCTTAAAGAAGGAAAGATTAGTATTTGTAAATCTACATTGTTTTTCTTTTTGGCATTGGATCCTATTTTTTTGTTTGTTTGTTTGTTCAGACTTGTAATAGGTTTTATAACTTTTATTTCATGTTTATCTAGGCAATAAACACATGTTCCCCAATTGTCCGAAGTGTATTATGCTTAATTTTATAAAAATAAAAAATATATATTCATTTTCTTCTCATTTTCCTAACTCAAATAAAAAAGAGAAATACAAATCAGCTTATTTTACTTCTCTTTCTTTTCATATCTTTTCTCTTTCCATTTCTTTTGACTCCTAATATCCAATATCAAAACACAATAAAAGAATAAGTAATACTTTAGTTTTGCTGTTTTAGATTTGTGATTGAGTACTAGACATTTTTTCATGCAAGTACAATTGATGTGTTTGTAAGGTTGTTACCCATCCAGTAAGACTTTCCCCATCAGTGATCTTTTCTGTCGTACTCCGTCCAGTGATCAGCTGTAATAGAACCACCCCAAAGGAATAAACATCTGTTTTGCTGGACACCTTTCCACTTTCTGCATATTCTGGAGCCAAGTATCCAAGAGTTCCAACAACTTTGGTCTGTGAGTCATCTGCATCTTCATGATGAGTTCTTGCCAGACCAAAATCTCCTAGCTAGTACATTGAACATGATAGATGAGCCATGGTGGGGGAAAATTAGTCAGTTGCATATATATATGGTTGGTTTTTTCTGATATGCAGTGATATAAAATTGGATGTATCTGGCTGCAATCTAGAGGCTACAAGAGTGGATTACCAGATAAAATAATTGGGGCGGGATTGACTTCAGAAGAAAATTTTAATCTAAAATGAGTGGCAAAACTACACTGTGATAGTGATAATTTGATTGTTGATTTCAGAAAAGAAACTAGATATATAAGAAATCAAATCTAGATATGTTAAATTTTGAGATTGGCATCTAAAACACTAGTTACTCTAAGTTTGTCTTATATGAGTCATGTTGTAGCCTATTAGACTGGTGTTAAATCGGCAGATAGAATTTTAAAGATGTGATACTGTACATTTATGGAGTATTACCAGTGCTTCATTATCATGTGTTACAAGAATGTTGTTTGGTCTCACATCTCTGTGGATGATGTTGGTTTCATGAAGATATTTTAAGCCTGTGGCAGCTCCCAATGCTATTTTTATCCTGTTGTCCCAATTGAGAGGTTCCTTTGTGTTTCCTGCCAATTTTCGCAAATTCCTCGAGTAAGTTTTCAGTGTTTCATGATATTGATAACAAATGAAAAAAATCTACACTCATGGAGTAATATAATGAAATATAAGTTTAATGGTTTTGTTTCTTTCTATTTCTTACTTGATAAATGTTTGTCCAGTTCACCGTTGCAGACATACTCATAAACAAGCAGCCTGTGACTCCCTTCTGAGCATGAGCCCAACAGCATAACCAAATTCTTATGTCTGGCCTTGCTGAGCACATAAACTTCGGACTTGAATTCTTTCTCTCCTTGAAAGCTAGCATGATTATGTTGCTTAACGGCAATCTTCAAACCATTTTTCAGCTCTCCTCTGTACACAGAACCAAATCCACCTTCTGATAAAAAGTTCGCTGAGGAAAACCCCTCTGTAGCTGCATGGAGCTCTGCATAAGTGAACTCTTTCTTCCATCCAAACATGGGTCGTTTGTTTTGGCAGACTGAGCATATGGAATTTTCAAATGCCTGGTCTGATTTAAACCCTCCCATCAAATTGCCTTCCCTGGTGTGCTTCTCTAGTTCATTTGGACTAGCTGTATTATTTACCTCTGTTTGACCCCCATCTTTAGCATCAGGAATGGAAAATGAGGACTGTTCTTCAGCCATTTCTTGTTCAGTTTTTGTAGTGATGTCTTCTTCCTCCTGAACTGTGTTCCCTTTGCTTGAATTTGGAACTGCAATTGTCAACATGTGGTCACTTGATGAGGATTTAGATAATGGCAATTTCTGATGGTTTTCACGTGGGGGTTCTCCACTTTCATCGCCACCTTGTTCCGTGCCTGAGGGGGTCTTTTGAGTGTTTGGAGATTCTGAAACATTGTCAACTAATACATGAATACAATTCCCACAAAAGAAGACAGGTCTTTATTGACTTTTGTTTTTTCTCATATGTGAACTTAAAGTAAATTCATGTTGTAAATGACTTCATCGAAAATCATCTTTTGTACTTAATGGAACGGTTGAGTGTATTCCTGTTAAAAAGAAGCACAGAATTTCCCTAAGATGTGAGCACAATAATTCCACTAATTTGTATTTGTGTGTGTTTTAGCCTGTGCATGCTTGATATCTTAGGGAAATGTTGTAGATCACAATTAATATGCATTGTCTTTCTTCAGCTCTTTCCAAGCAAACTAAGTTGTGACATCTCCAGAGATGGATTATTGGATACATTGACTGACATGCATTTTGTGCTGACTAGAGTTTGATACACTAATCACCGACAGATAAAAGCATTCTGCTTAATATATTGTCGCTTTTCATATTTGGATGAGTTGTATTATGGTTGGTGACAACAAAAGTAATATCACAATGAGTGGGATCTACAAGATTTTGAATGCCAAATCTATGAAGGAGAGTTGTAAAATATTCAATAATGTAATAATGTTGTACTTAGAAGCAAAACTTTAGCTATTTGGTCAAGTGTTTGCAATTGTCAACTTCTTGGTCACCAAAGTAAATTAATTGTTGGTTACTTACTATTGGGAGAAACATTTTTCCCCAGTTCTGGAATCATTTCAGCATATGTTACATAGGTAGTGGTGCTTTTTCCTGCAGCCAATTTGGGGTTCTCAATTGCTTTTGGCCCTCTTAGCTGTTCAATGGTGTTATCGCGTTTCATCCTTGATATTCCACATGAGAGCCTCTCCAAGAAGTATTTCTTGTCTTTCTTCATCTGCCTGCACCAAAAGAAGGACACGGTATAAAATCCCTCAAAGATCAACTCTCAGGTATACCTTCACATTTCCTTCTTTTTCCTATCTAAATCCTGCTGTATTTTTATATGTCAACTGTGTTACAGAGTAATCTCAAGTAGAGTTCTATTTTATAATTTTTTTTATTTTTTATTTCAAGTCATTCTGTTTTAAATTGTCTGTGGTCTTTAACTAGTCAATATTGGATCTCTTGGGCTAAAAAATGGGCAATTTTGTCAACATTTTGTGTTGCACTATATAGCTGTGATTCACATGACACCTTTGTTACCTCACATTTCACACTGATATATACTTATAGAAGATTCCTTCTTCAGTTGACCCCAATACACATAAAAGATCAAATTATTTTTCACTCTCAAAGAATCTCCATCATTCTACATGCAAAAACTCAACTCAAAATCTACACTATATTAAGATCACCAATATGTTGAATTGTCAAACTAAAACATTTTCTTCTATCCGTTGTGTTGTAAGGAAACTTCTAAAGGACAAAGAAATGGTCACTCCTATCCTCCTTCAGAAGTACACGGAATTCTTTTGTACTTGTTTCAATGTAGGTTTGATTTCATTAATTATGGATGGCTCGGAATTGATATGGAATTCCAATTTTTTTCCGTTGTAGTATAGTTGAGCAGTTGCCCAATAATTTAATTTATCCAATACCAGTTATCCATTAAGTACTGTGACCAAGTTGTTAGAATTCATTGTATTTGAGTTTATTCGTTGTCCTACATCAAGAATTGCAGATAATATCAGAGCCAAAATTAGAGGACTATATTGATGTAAGAATTCCCATTCAACAATTGAACTTTTCACACTGGCAACAGTTTTTTACATGGATCTTATCATAAAATATGTATATCTACACTATTTTGTGTGGAAAAGTTTTCAAAATATTCACCCTATGAATGGTTTAAATTTGAGTAAATTACACCAACCTCCCCTTCAAAATATTCACCCTATGAATGGTTTAAATTTGAGTAAATTACACCAACCTCCCCTGGAGTTTAGAGAAAATACAATAAACGTTACAAGTTTGGTATAATTACATTGGACTCTTATAAAATTTTAATTCACATAACACTCAAATCCCTTTTCATCAATAAATTATTTGTCATATAGATGTAAAACTGATGTTGTCATCTCTTTTACATTGAAATGTATATTTTTATCTTGTTCATCTTTATGCCTTCACACCATCTGTATTAGTTTTGATCCCTTTAGTTTTACTAAAAAGGGGGTCGGTATAATTATGCCAAAATGGGGTATAATGTATTTTATTAAAATTTCAGGGGACGTCAGTGTAATTTACCCTTTAAATTTTGAATATATTGATCTTATCTGTAATTATTGTGGAGTCATATTAAATAATATAGCACTGAAGTAAATCAAATACACAATTTCAATTTATTTCCTTGTACTTCTTAGGGTCTTAAGAACAACTTGGAACTCTTAACTGACCTGTCAAGTATCACCCATGATGCCTTAAATTCTTTGGCAACTTCTACAGCAACCACTTTTGGAGAAGGCCAGGGTTGCACCTCTATGCAGAACTTAATCTGATTAATTTGAGGTACAAAAACAACCTTGTTAGCCATTTTCTTACACATCATATACGACAAACTGAATGCCTATCCTAAGATTTTATTTTGTTTTTTAGATAACCCGGTGTCTGGGAAAGCTTGCGCGCACCTTGACTAATTCCGGGACCCAGAAGTTAATGATAGGGCAAACCTCAAGTGACCCCTTGTAATTTACCCCTTTTATTTTGTACATCAAAGGTTCTCACAGGGAATCTTCAGCTAAAGAAGGGTCAACATTAGCAAGAAGTCGACTGATATTCATCTTAACTGCATTTGGTTTTACTGGCACAGTTAATTTAGTTCATGCATCTCGTAGTCCGACACATGTTTAACACTTAGGTAAAATCCTTTGACGATGTTGTTGATTAATAAAACAGGTGGAAGTTATGGATGTAGTAAGACCAGAAAATCATACTCAACATAGAAGTTTCCTAAAATAACAGATTTAAAATGCATCAGCAAAAATGGATGTGGAAAATTCTCTTGACTGGTACATATATGTTTCATTTTTCTTTGAGTTTTTAGTATTTAGTGACTGTATAGACAACAAATTTCACAATAAGGCCAAGACAAGAAAGCATGAAATATTTGTATTAGTTTTTTGTGTTTTTACGACCTTTTGCATTTTGCATTGGTGAGAAAGTTGTGCTGCTTCTTCATTCTTCTGGTACTCGTCGCTCTTCCTGGCTACTTCTTCCTCCACAAGTTTTGGGTTTGCTCCAAAAATACCGGAATCCACCTTACTTCTGAATCCCACTGAAAAAAAAACAAAACAAGTCAAAAAAGAAAGAAAATAGAAGCAGTAGGAGAAAAAGAGAGCGGTATCAATTCTATTCATTTATATTCGAGCCTTAATTGTTTTCATGTCTCTTTCTTTCTCTATATCATTATTATTCTGCCTTTCATCGTATAGACTCTTAACATAGAAAAATAAAAAATAAAAAAAAATTAAACATCAACCCTTACAAAATTTCCCAGCTCCCATGAGAGATGACGTACTAGGGTTATTAACCTGGTGAAGAACAGCAAGAAGTGTAAGCTCATCGCCCGGCTTAAGTGAAAAGCCGTGCAGGATCCATCTGATCGCGCTCCAAATAACTTCTCGGGATGCATCCTGGATCACCACCACCTTCTGACCTCCCATGGATATGTTTTATTCAAACATACATAGATTGTCTTCAAATGCTAGCTAGGTCATTAAAATTACTACTTGTGAAGTTCCATATGGATAGCTAGACCATAAAAACTACCGGAGCACCACGTGTCCATACTCCAAACCAATTACCAATTAGTTAACCCCATGTTGTTTCCCCATCCAACATAAATCGTGGACCCTTGTGTCTCTCTACCAATCAAAACATGATGGAGTACCACGTGTCCATACTCCGGGAGTACTGAATAATCACCCTTATTATTCTGTCTTTCATCGTATAGACTCTTAACATACCAAAAAGAAAAAAAAAAAAAAAAAAAAAATTAAACATCAACCCTTACAAAATTTCCCAGCTCCCATGAGAGATGACGTACTAGGGTTATTAACCTGGTGAAGAACTGCAAGAAGTGTAAGCTCATCGCCTGGCTTAAGTGAAAAGCCGTGCAGGATCCATCTGATCGCGCTCCAAATAACTTCTCGGGATGCATCCTGGATCACCACCACCTTCTGACCTCCCATGGATATGTTTTATTCAAACATACATAGATTGTCTTCAAATGCTAGCTAGGTCATTAAAATTACTACTTGTGAAGTTCCATATGGATAGCTAGACCATAAAAACTACTACTTGTGAAGTTTATATATATACACACTACGATTCTTTAATGCTTCTATTTTCTTTATATAACTAACACGTACGACCTAATGTGCAACTTTAAATTCTGATTTGGTTTTTACAATCTTACATGTACAATTACTAATGAAAGGTATGTGTGTGTGATTCAATTGAGAAGAAGCTTAAGTGGAAAAGTAAGTGATAACGTTGTCTTTGATTCTTACTGAACTAGAGAGTATTTTATGGCATTCTTGAAACTGGCATTCTGGTAAGGAAATGAAGGAAGATAGAGAAAGGGTAGACAGAAAACTTGCAAACCATCAGTTCCGCTGGATTGGGAACTGAAAGAGATTGATTGCTGTTCTTTCTGCAGAACTGTTAAGAGAAGGAAAGGTGGTGATTCCAAGTAAATAAGCATCTCCAGTGTTAGTTTGAGAGCGGATATTCGGATATCCGCGGCGATGAGCTTATGAATTTTCACATGGTTGGAGGAAGAAAGATGTGTTTATGCTGCAAGTTTTGTAAATTCCTATGTTTTCCATGCATTTTATTATTACTTTCTGTAAATTGTTTGGCACAGCAAGACAAGAAATATGGGGAGAATGGGAGATTACAAAGCTCTTAGTCCTAAAAATGTCATCCCTTGTTGTCATATATGTATATTTTTTATTATATATTTATACATATTTTATTGTTCTCTGGATGATTCTTATTTTAATGTTATATATTATATATTTTTTATTATTTTCTTGGTGATTCTTATTTTAATTGCTAATTGATTAGGAACTCTGCCTGTGTGTAGAAATATCAAATGGCATAAAAGGATAATTATTCAGTAGTCTCAGAGTATTATGCAGTATTTTAAATTAATAATAAAGTGAAAATTTTTACCGACGAGATAATACCGATCTATCTTTGTTAAGTAGTTGAGAAACCATATGTATTTTGCAATTTCTTGTTTGTTAGAAGCACTATCTATATTTATATATTATATAAGAAAAATAAGATTTTTAATCTACAAGTCTTGTGGAAGCTCCAATATTCCAATCTTAACTTTCTAATTTGTTGATTAAAAAAAAAACCTTAACATTTATTAAATTTTCCCAACACACAAGCTTTTGGGAGATTTAGTCAAAGCTCACTCATAATAAAACTTTAATACATTAAGGACAAAAATAAAAAAATTTCCTTGAAAAGTCCAACACATATCATTATTATTAAAATATTAAACTTTAAAATAATATAACTTTGGGACACTTTTTTATAAATCACTTTTCACCTACTTATGTTCCATTTAGTCCACATTGTTTTCTTATGTTCCAATAAGTCCTATGAGTGACATAGTTACCAAAATATCCCTAATAATATTCACATTTACAATGTGAATATTCTATGATGTGAATGTTCACACCATCAATGTGAATGTTAACATGTCAATGCGAATAGTCACATTGTAAAATATGAATGTTCACATTACCAAATTGTTAACTGTTCAAAAAATATTTGTAAGGGTAGAAATGTCCATAAAATATTTTAAATATGAGAATTAAGATTTGATAGATCAAATGTCCAAATAATAAGACTTATTAGAATATAAGAATATCTTATGGACTAATTGGGATACAAACACTTAAAAAAGGATTTTTCAATAAATTTCCCTATAACGTTTTGATGTAGATGTCGGTTTTTAATAAAATTAATATTTTTAGAATTCTTTCATTAAAATCTATCAAATAAGATCCACGTTGACTATTACCATTAAAATTAATGTAAACAATAATACGTTATTCTATTTGACAGTAACATGTTATTTTGTCTCACAATAACATGTTACTTTGTCTAATAGTATAACATATTACTCTTGTTCACAGTAACATATCATTCTAGCAATATTGTCCAAAAAAAAAAAGAACATATTTTACTTTGTTCTTATTCAATTATGTGTTTTCTCCTTAAAGCGCTATGAAGCAAAAAAAATTGGGCTATCATTTTTTACTAAACAAAGGTCCAATGGAGGGATTTTGGCTAAATTTTCCAAGTATTTTTGACTTCTCTCATACCTACTGCCGCACCATTTTCAACTTCTTCCGTACATTATGGTTAGTGGTGAGATTGTTAAATTATTTTTATAAAAAATCTAAAAAAAAAATTATATTAAAAAAATATCTAAAACAAATATAAATTCTTATTAAAAAATAACAGGTTGCAATTGCGGAAAAAAAAAGAAAAAAAAAATTACACTGTGCATTTCATTAATCGTGCTCAAAAAATGTGCCAAGTGTTTGTGTAAAGGTTTGACACGTGTCCACTCTCAAATTATCAAGTGAATATAGATGAAATTAAAGAACTCAACTTCAATGGATAACAAATATTAGAAACTCGTCCATTGAAGTCTAATAACTATTAATTAATAGAAGTCAACAATTAAAATGTCTAAAACCACATCTCTTTGTCTTTTCAAATGTTTTCTTTTTTTGTTCATGCATTCATTTTAATATTGATAGAGAATTGGACAGGTGAAAGAGTGAGATATTAACATTATATATTAAGTTATGTAATTGTTGTGATGGAACATAAATGTTGTCTTCCCCTTCTATAGTGATTTATCTGGTTATACCTCTAATTAAAACGTCAGGTGTGCTTTTACATCATCATTGAACGTTGCTTTTATTTTTTTTAGATATTTAGTCTCACAATTATTTGTGTTTTGTGATATGAAATTATTACATCTATGTTTACTAAAGTTATTAGATGAACATAATGCAAGAATTGTAGACTATTTCAATGTCATTCTCGGGATTAGAAGTACAAAAAATATACACAAAAAAGTATATGAATGGACAAGATTTTACAAAATTTATTTGTGAGTCTCACTTCTGGAGAATCTTATAATTCATTTATTTTTTGTATTATATTTTATGTTTGGTTTCTGCATTTTTTTTATGTAGTTTTCTTTATTTTCTTTAAAAGTTTTATTTTTAAAAATTAATAAATAAATAAGTGAATCATTTTCTATTTCAAACAATTTTATTTTTATTTTTTCTTCAAGTAGTTTTAGTTTTGGGCAATTATTATTTTTTTCTATATATTGTAATTTTGTACATTTTAAGTGTATGATATTTTCACTAATACACTCGGAGATGCACTATAAAAAAAGTATTACGTGAAAATCAAATAAAAAGAAGAAAAACAAATAAAATAATACGACGAATGCGGAGCAAGGATCAAAGATCAAAACTTCCAAACAAGCAAGCAAACAAACAAACAAACAAGTAGAATAAAATGTTCAACAATAGACATTTGAAAATTTGCAACAAAATTTTATAACTTTCCTTTTTGCAAAGAAAATTCTATTTGGTACTAACTAAATAAAATTCTTTTAAAATAATTTTTTTTTTAAATTTGAAATTAAGATTATAGTAAATTTATGTAAACATAATTGCTAATTACATTTTTTTTACTTGATGTATAATATTATATTGACTACCTTTTTCAGGGTTATTTTTTTAAGTATTTATATAGAAGTAAAAAACTGTCGTTAGGAATAAATTTTTCCTTAATTTAGTTATAAATTTTACCCATACATTATTTTTAAATTTTGAATTAAAGTAAATATAAAATATTTGATTGAAGATATGCTGTATTTGTTATATTTATTAATCTGTGTGTAAAAAAAAAAAAAAAATTTAAAAATCACAATTCACATATATATAAATAATTATAAATATAACATGTGCATAGCCCAAATCAAACACTAGTATAAATAATATCAAATCATGTTTCGGGACCACCTATTCATTTCTCCATATGAAAATTCCAGCTTTTATTGCGCTGGTTCCCATTGAAATCTACATCCTGGGTGCCTAGCTTTGAGACATTTTTTTTTGCTTTTTTATTTTTATTTTATTTATATATATATTTTGCTTTTTTATTTTTATTTTATTTATATATATATAAATTTAAATGATTGCTGAAACTTAATTTGCAAACCAAGATGGGTTCCATTAAATGATTTTCTTTTATAAGAACCTTGTCAAGATTGACCATATAGTTTTAAGATATCCAAGTGATACTTTGGATAAGAAAATTTTCACTAGGAAGAATTGAAAATTAAAAGTGTTTTTTTTTGGGGGGTTGGTTTGGGGAGTGAATTTTAAGCGCGCATTTTGAAGGAACAAATTTACCAATTTTGGGTGTACTTAAAACTTTTAAGGGCTATAAAAGGGTTAAGTTGAGTTTGATAGATTGTTCAAATTTAGTTTAAAATTTTAAAGAATATTAAAATATTTTTAAATTTGACTTGTTTACATAACAAATTGATATTGGACAAATTTTAACAAGTCAAATATAAGTCTAGTAATTTTAATTTTTATAATTCATATAAATTAATAAGTTGAGTAGTAAGTGTTGGATTAATTTCTAATTGGGACCACATATTTAAATATGTGTTATCATTTATCAAAAGCCTCAAAATTTAAGTGATCTAATTTAGTTAGCAGGCTTAAAGGGTATGTTTGTCATGGACCTAGTATGTAGATACTATTTGTACAATTTCTATTTCTATGAGGGGCAGAAATAGAAATTGTGTAAGTTGGTTATTGCTTGGTGTTCAACTGCCACGGTTGGTTTTCCTTGAACTGCAAACCAAAACAAAGGGTTATGGTCCCAATCTTGCCATGCATATGCAAGAACAATATATCTTCTTCAATCCTCTCTTGAAGAGAATGCATTAAGGGCATAGGAAAGGATTGGAAAGTATTACCACAGGCAATCCCATCTGTCAATCACGCTTCTGTTTAACCATAACGATGGATTCAGGTATGCAATTTTGTTTTGATTTCTTGATAATACACACGATACATGATCCAAAGTTTTTTATGTTTTGAAATTTAACAGTAAGTTTAAAACTTAATAAATTTTAAATGCTATTTAAGTTTGACTTTTTATATGACGAGTAGAGCTTAAATAAATTTAATAAATCCACACAATTCGAACTCAAAAAATTTAGTTCATTTTATAAGTCCAACCGTTGTTATAGTTTATGGACAAATCCCTTGGAAAGTTAATGTTTACGAATATAACAAAAGCTGAGAAATATAATCAAGGATAACATTTGTAAAAATACCCTTATTTAATGGTTGGAGTGGCTTAGCTTACAAAGTCCTCAAAGCTCATGAGAAAGACTCAAATTATCTAACTGGCTTCAAACTACGATTTAAAATAATAAGGATATCGAAATATGTATTAACATCAAAGATACTATCCAAATCCTAATACATAACAGGCAAAATGGTATGTAACAATTAAAATTTAAAACTTTGCTTGACCATCAGTAGATATTAAAAATTCTGATACATAACAGGTAAAACGACACGTAACGATCAAAATTTAAAACTTTGATTCAATTATCCGTCGATACTTAACGATCATTAACAAATTATTCTACCATGCTCTTGGAAAATACAAACATCTAGGAGAATGAAATTGATGCAGAAGGCAGACTTGAGTATTTGCAACTTTGAGGTTGTCTAGCATTTGTGCTGAAAGGAAAGATGAATGGATTGGAGACTTGACTGAAATTGGTTATTCTAAAAAGAATAAGAGTTCGTATATCTATAATTTTATAAAACAGACGAATGAATACTGGTTTCTAGTGTGTATGGTTATGTGATGTACTAGAACCCCTTGGACAAAAGTAATCTTTGACATTGTTCATAGATCTTGCAGTTTCATAATAA